CAGAAAAGCTTCTGGTGTGATGAGGATAGGGTTGTCCATTTGGGATTTTGGCAAATGTAAGCCATCACTAATATGACATAATAGTGTCATGATCTTGGTCAAGGCACCAGGTGTGTTCCCCTTTTCCTTGAGTTTCCTGTGTTTACTGTCTCTCCCTTGCTCTGTGTGTGTGTGTGTGTGTGTGTGTGTGTGTGTGTGTGTGTGTGTGTGTGTGTGTGTGCGCGTGCGCGCTTGTGAATCTCTGTGCATACCGTTCCTTCCGGCTCCTCACCTGCTCAACCCCAACTCCTGATTGCTTCAGCCACCACACCTGCATCTCATCATCTCATCAGCCCTGCAGTACGTCAACGAGACACTTCCTCATGTCTGCCTGCCTGCTGCTTGTGCTCATTTCTGCCATCCATCACAGATTGAGTCTCATTGCCTACCTGTCTCTCATTCACCACCCAAGCCCTGTTTTCCACCATCACAGAGTCACTGCTCAGCCGTTCATTGCCTGCTCGCTTCTCATTCTTCATCCACTCATCACCTGCCATGCCACAATCTCTCTTTTACAATAAATTCAGTTCAACTTGCTCCGTTTAGTCTATGTTCTGCTTTTGGATCCTTAAAGAACAGTTAATACAAATAGTTGCAGCAATTTTCTTAACCTCATTAGATTCTTGGTGAGCACAAGAGTAGGTGTGATCACTTGTATGTAAACATTACTGTGTACATTTAGTGGCTTATGGCTGCTATTTGATTGACCCTCAGAGCGAATGTAACTTTTAGTGTCCTGGAGGAACAGTATAAGGTCATAGAAAACTGTGTGGGCACTGTAGGCATGTGTCTATTTCCAATGCTAAAATGAAATGCTATTTTTAGTAGGCTACCTACACACTGAATCACAGAGGCATAATAAAAAGGCATTTCATCCTGTTATGTGACCAATTCCACACGTGGTGGGTGAATAACTTCACAGTAGGAGGATTTTCTTTTTACTCTGAAGTGTGGTTCTACAACATTGCTGTGAATCATCCAAAAAACACTGGAACATACTGAGTCAAACTGTGAGGACAATATACACTTTCTTTCATCCAAGTAACTAAGAATTGGAGTTGAAAGTCTAGTTTGCTGTAATTGGATATAAAATATAAGAAATTTCATTTAAGAAATGTAGGAAATTCACTGCCAAAATCACATTAATTTGGTGTTTATATCTTATGTGAGTACCTCTTTACCAGAAACCAGTCTAAAACTTACTTTAATGTGAACTTTGAAGGAGACATTAAACTATATGTGCAAATGTTTATCTGGACTCCAGCCTGACACCAGACATGAAACAAGATGTATCTCAGAGGATTACAGTGCTGAAGGAAGAATGTGTTAGGTTTTCTCAGAGTACAAAACCAAGTAGAACTGCACTTCAGATGTTTGGACAGTATCAAAGTAGGTCATTTGTGGTCTGGTCTGCCATGGGCACACAATACTGTCATCAGTGTGCAACTTGAGAGGGCAGAAGTTAAACTGGTGTAGCATTTAACCTCAGAAAAGTCAATGATGTCAAGATTTCGACAGCAGTGAGATTAAACATGAGTCATTTGTTTTGACTGAATATACTTTGGCTCAGTCCAGCTAGCAAAAGGGAGGAAATTTCCATGTCAGGTACTTAAAAGAAGTAGTTTCACAGAGATGTAGACTGTACTACTTAACACCATCAAGACTGCAGAGACAAGTAAAATCTACACTTGGGGGAAAAAAATCATTTGCAACTTTATCTAAAGTAGTATCCCATGGTATATTTTGCAGCTCCCTACCAGCTACTTGACATGACACAACAGTCAGTCCACTATAACCAGTTTATGAAGAGCTAAACTCTTAGCACTAGGTGTCAGTGAACAGGTCTGCATCTGCAGAAATACAAGCTGTATCATTAAAACATAAAAAAATATATACAGATAGAAATAACAACTGAGGACACACAAATACACATATAGTTGAAGTTGTGTATTTAGTATATCTTTACAGTATCCACTCAGTCAGTTGGACTCATTCAGTTTCCATCCAATAACAATTTGTATATTTTACATTTGCATAAACTGTTAACAGGAACATATGACGTAAAATAAAGAAGAGAGACCATATGTCTATGTTGTGAGCCTGGCCAGTTCCTTGACCTCAGTCAGACTCCTCTATCCAGAGGACAGGAGCTGCATCTTGACACCAACTGTTGGTTTAACCCAAGACCTGTCAAGTATGAAAGAGGGGTATGAGAGAGACAGTGAGCAAGAGACAGAGCAGATGGCCTTGCACTTTATGACCATAGAGCAGCACTGCAACGTTGGCGTGACTGGTTAGTTAAATTGTAACTAAAGGAGTCTTCAGGCCTCCCTGTACCTGCACACCTGAACCTTCACAGAGTGTCATCTTTTATGATTCTGCCTGAATAGCACACTGCTTCTGCAGCCACAGGTAATGTAGCTGTAGCTGGTGTCCTCTGGGCTGAGGGGATCATGCTAATCAGTAAATCTTAAGTCCAACAGCTGACAATTACAATAAACACACACAATATTCACAGAATATTCCACAAACTATCACTGTATAAAAGAGCAAAATAGAGCAAAGAGAGTTATCTTAACAGTTGAAAGCTTAAAGGAGCTATATAAGTTTTTGCTATTACTACATAGCCATGTTAGCCAGTTAGTGCTAGCCGCTGTTAACTTACCAGTCTAGAAGAAACGTTGCAAGTTCAGTATCAAACTTCATTCCTTTACTCACCAACAGCTCAACAGTGCAAAGCAACACCAATGTTAACTCTCGTTTTGCTTCTATTTCTGTCTTTAGCATGCGAACCAGCTATCCCGACAGACTGTCTCGTCACCTTCCGATACTGAGTCACTGTAGTGTTCAGGTTGCCCTGAAGAAGTAGCACTGCTCAGAGGGCGTATTATAACCTATTGTTAACGATGGCTGAAGCTCTGGGCAAGACTGTTAAGGAAACAGCTTTCATTGCACAGTTTGGGTATATAGCAATAGCAAAACTTAAAAATTGTTCTTTAAAGGGACTAAGTTAACACATTTAAAATGATATTTCTACAAATACAACTGATTTGCATTATTTTCTATTATTGTCTTATTTTTAGGCAATATTACTGCGTATCCATCATATTATATAGTGCTGGGAGCTAAGTGCAAACATCAGCATGTTAACATCCTCACAATAACAGTGCTGATGTCTGCGTGCTAACATTTGATAAGTAGCACTAGACACAAAGTACAGCTGAGGCCGGTGAGAATGTCTTTAGTTCTGCAGGTATGTGGTCATAAAAATGATTGTAAAAATTTAAATTTTGACCTGGAAATGGGGATCACCAAAATAATTAGAAGTCATCCTGAGGGCAACCTTTATGTCTGCACCAAATTTAAAGCCAAATAAACCACAAATGTGAACTTAAAGGTGGCACAAAAGGAAAAGTCAGGGGACCACTAACGTCTTGAGGATTCGTCATCTGGGAAAATCTTCACAAACTTTGACGACAATCCATTGGATAGTCACTGAGATATTTCAGTCTGGACTAAAGTGGTGGACTAAAAAAAACGGAAAAATGGGAGTCTACTTTAATCAAAGAGCGTATGTAGAAATTTGTGGCCAGGTTTCCGACAGAGTGGCCTCTCTGCTTCAGTCTGTCCTGTCATGCCTGTTTCCTGTCCACAGGGTTAGAATTGATGCCCAGACATCTGTTCCTGTGGACAGACACAGAAAACACTGGCATTGGCACAGTTAATCTCTGCTGCAGCTCAACACCTCAACCACTGACAGACTTAGTATTATTCAATCAAACCGTCTCATATCTATAGTTTACAAATGTATTGTAAGGTGAAAGATTGGAATTGAAAAAATAAATAACATGGATTTGGATGAATTGTTTCAGAGAAGATGAGAAGGAAAAATTCTCAGACAATCAAAATGGCAGCTACTGGAGAGCTTTTATTGGGCACTTTGTGCATCAAATCTTTTACAAAAGAAAAAAAGAAAAACATCAATTAGAAACTTGTTAATAACTTTTTTTTTACCTTGACATAATGTTAGAATAACTTCATATAAAAAGGAAAAACACATTATATTATTAGGAATAATAAAAATTTGGGTATATATATGTTTTTAAAAAAGACCCACATCCATTCTCTTAATAAATATATACACAATAAGTACTGAGATACAAAAGGAGGGATCATCTAGATCCTTTTTTCAGTGGATATGTACAATATTTCCTTTAAAAAAAAATCAGTTTTATCAGGTAATATGTATTATATACTGTAGTTATGGCAATAGAGGAATTTCTTTTCTGAATGTTTCAGAATTTAAACATCATATTGCACCTCCAGAGCAGTCTTGTTTAAACTGTCCTAGACATTCATTGACCTACTTTGCCATCATTCAGAAAACTACTCTACAGGGGAAGGGTAGTTGTGTTTTAGAATTAGTATCAATATATTTACCAACTGTTTAATACTTACAGCGAGGCCATTATTTAGATTGATCTGAGGAAATACATATTTTAAGCCATTTCATTCACAAACAGCATGTATTCTATGCTAAAAAAAATACAACAAACATTTACAATATTCTACCCTAACTGTATGATGGTCGAATAAGGTTTTACACACTAAATACTGCCATATTGTTTAGCATTAATACACTGAACCACTGAGACTCCATCAACAATTTGCTGTCTTCATTTTCTGCACTAAATTCCCAAGTTTACAGATTGTACTCATCAGTGCTAAGGCTTTAGGAAGGGAAAAAGAGTTGTTTCTCCAGATAAAAGTCGAATATATGAGAAACAATGCTGCTTGCATAGCATGAGGTATAGCAGCACCACAATCGCTCGGGACATTTCAAGCAAAATTTACAAAAAAAAAAAAGGCACTCATATTTGAGGTGCAACTCATATTCTCAGTAAATACAAACAAAGGTGTCATAAAGATCAAATGTGTCCTAACTTGTTATGCACAAAAAAAAAAAAAAAAAAACATTTTGAAATTAAGCAAAATGTATAACTTACATCTCTAATCAACATTGCTGTCTATTAAGAGCTCTGGGTTTTTAAATACCTCTTTTGGGACTTTGTGTTTTAAAATCTGTTTGACACTAATACAGCACACAGACAACATGATTTCAATGTCAGATCAAGTCCATAATCACTGCATGGCTAGACGTGTAAACCACTATTCCTGATGGCTCCATTTCTCCACCACCCCTCTGTCCAGGATGATGTCACCTCCTCTAGTCCAATCAGATTTCAGTGAGGGTGAGTTTGTACATCCCACCCAACTCCTCCATGGTGATCTGGAAGGTGTCTTCATTGGAGTAGTGTTTGATGATGTTGTCGTCCATGTGGACCAGAATGCTGTTTTTAAAACACAAATGGGTGTTAGTGTCTTTTCTATTACATCCCCATCCAAAGAAACTCTTTTATATGTATGCTTTGTATGCATATGGTTATCTTAGCTTCACAGTGAGTAGCCTTTGGACAGAGCTGGTTTAGCGGTTTCCCTCTTTTTCCAATCTTAACACTAAGCTAAGCTAACTGGCTGCAGCTCCATACAAAAAAGCAAAATAAGTATAGTTCCCCAAATATCAAACAATTCCCTTTAATGCACTCTACTACAGTGAGATTTAGCTGTCGCATACATACATTAAGCAAATGTAATCATTGCACAGTTTTATTTACCTTCAATATCCAAATTAAGGTGATGTCAGTCAAGTCAGTATGAGTCTGTCCCTATACCTCATGGTTGGCTGCTGTGCATCGCAACAGCTAGTTTGATTGCTGGTGGTCAATTACGTCATACTTAATACTAACTAAATACTAAACACCTATTGGAAATATGTCTGAATTTGGTGAAATCTCAGTTTTGTGTTGAAGGACCAGCTGACATCCTTATTATTTGTATTTTGAAGAAAAAACAAATTCAGGTACAACTTCATCTAATGAAGGAGAACGAATACCTGAGGTAAAAGTAAAAGATGGAATACCATTTCTTTATTTGGTAGTTCTTAATTCACTTATGTCAAGCTTTCTCTTTCACAAAGTTTCAGACGTAGTGTGTGTATGTTAATGACTGATACTCACCCTTTCTTGCACTTCTTATACACATTTCCAAGCTTATCCAAAGGTAACTCATACTTCTCTGAAATCTGGTTGAGAAAAAACACAAAGCAGTGTAAAATTCTTGAAAGAAACATAAAAACATGAGCACAGATTACACACAGAGTTCAGCCCTTTGTGTCTTATCCTTCACAGGCACATTCACCTGTTTGAGCTTTATCAGCTCCACTGTGGGCTCTCCACAATCAGGATACATGCCTCTTGTACTCCATACATTTTTTAAACCCCTAAAGAAACCGTACACTTGCCACTTTATTTTCTTCCATTACCTTACAAACACCCCCTTTCCCACTCCCTCATCCTCTTCTGCCTCCCCAGGACGTCTCCACCTCCTGTTTTCCATAACTTTTTCCCCCATCCCTTCCCTCCATTAGCCCCTTTTGCCCCCTCTCTTGACTTTATTGTCCCCCTTGTCCCTTTTTAACCCCCCACACACCCTCTTTCTCCAATCCACTCTTTCTTCTTATCCTTCCTGACATTATTCTGGGGTCCTGTCACAGCTCATTTATCTTGCCATAATCACTTAAACACACAAGACAGAACTTGATGTCAAGCTGCAGTGTGCGTTGCCAAGACCACCAATGTGAAACAAGAACATTAAGTGCAATACAAGCCATTACCAGCACAAAAAAACTGTGGACAACTTACAGCTTCCATCAGGCCTTTCAGCGTGGGATTCTTCAGCATGAGGGCATCAAACACCTCCTCTGTTTCCTTGCGCACGTACAGCAGGACTGTGTGGTGGAAAGAGAAAGAGGAGGCAGGCGCGTGTCAAAGCAAAGCATTTTTGGATTGGACACAAACATAAACCCAAATCTGACCCCAGACAAAAGTCACATGCAGGCATAAAGCATATATTTGCGTCAGGCTGAACAGCTTGACTGCTAGTTTGGTACATCTGTGTGGGCTCAAGGGTTTGTGGCTTTAGTGCATCCCCGACTTGATTCCTAAGTAGCAAAGCTCGCGCACATGCACATATACTGTATGTTGAATCCATTAGTAGAATTAGTAAAAGGAGATATATAGGCTAATGCACTGGGCGGTTATAAATATTCCCCCTGCCACACTGCATAAGCACTCATCCAAACTCATGAAAGAGGTGGCACGCGGCCCAGCAAAGCGCACCTAGAAAGCACATTCATCATACAACGCTGGTATGTTTGTAAAGAGACACACACAGAATGACACAGCCACTTCTCATTCACTACACCCAGTCTTCTCAAAATAGATCTTGCTCTAAATAGATTTTCTGGTATTGTTTTCCAACCTGTTTGCAGGAACTTGTGATATTTGTGGCCTCTAAGTAAGACAAAAAACCTCCTCTGTTTTTCAAGTAGGCCTCTTTTTAAAGATGTAATTACATGCACAGGAGTTTTCACTAGTTTGAACCACTTCTGTACAGGGACTGAAACCAAGTGAAACTGAAGTGAAATAGAAGTAAAGTAAATGACTGTATCGTGATGTGGTGATGATGGTGATGATGGTGAGGGCTTCATTCTGTTATTGTATGCACAGGCCACAGTTGTGGTTCGCTCACTGTGGTCCGGAGCAGCCATGGATAACTTAATTTGAGACAGACGTCATTCCAAGAAGGCGAACAGATGATTGTCAGACCGACTCTTCACTCAAACATCAACAGGATCCTTTCCAAACCTTCGCAAAGTAATTCTCTAACTAGAAAAACACGACAGCTATTGTGGAAAGTTTATAAAACTTCACCTTAACTATTTTTAATAGTATATTTAAGTAACAAATAATAGTTAATTTAAGGTGACAAATCAGCCGTGCTTTTTGCTGAATTGTGATTAATTGTATATCTAAATCAACTACTTTAAATAGTTCCAAGATTCAGCAGGCTATGGCATCATCTAAACCAGTGGTTCCCACCTTTTTTGGCTTGCAACTACTTAAAATGAAGTAATGTTTACTTGTAACCTCTCATCACAGGATATGGCCTTTCTGTGGACATGAGTTGTGAGCAGTTCAATGACCACAAAAGTGATTTTTTTTTTGCTTCTGAAATTGTTTATTTGAAGGACTTTAAGAGGCCTGGAGAGGTTAAATTATCCAGCAAAAAAAAGCACAAATGGATCTTACAATCTAGATCTTACAAGATCGAGTCTGGCTTTGTGAATCTATGGACTATATGCAGATGTATTCATACAGAGTTAGTGTGAAACAGGTTTTAAAAAATCAAGGTGAAGACTAACTGTTATAACTTTCCTCTTCTAGCAGCAACACATTTTTTATATATATTTATATATTGAGTAGTGGAAAGAAGCCTTATATGTCTATGAATAGGATGTGGGGTAAAGGGCACAGGCTTGTTTGAATGTGTGTGTGTGTGTTTGTGTGCACGTAGTGATCAGTGGTATTTTGTTGGGTCAGTGGAGGCCTCAGACACGTGTGTGTTTTGAAAGACCTGGAATAATCACATGGCCCAGAAAGTGTGTGTGTATGTGGGCACACACACACACACACACACACACGCATGTGCACACACTGATTTAGCCCCAGAGAAGAGCATCATTCAAAGACCCCTGACCAGCATGTGAACAGTTGCAGCACTACACTGCAGCAACACACAAACATACACACACACACACACACACACACACATACACACATTTAGTACCTTTCTTTGGTTCCTCCACTCTCGCCATCTTGTTTGGGGGGGAACCAAACTCGTCATCACTGAAGGGTAATCTCTTCATGCCTGCAGTGCTGCAGTGGACAAACACACACACATAAATCATTGCTTAAATGCCCTTTATAACCAGCTAAGAAGCTATAAAACACACACAAGCACACACACGCGCGCATGCACACACACACACACACACACAGACACACACACACACACACACAGACACACACACACACACACACAGACACACACACACACACACACAGACACACACACACACACACACAGACACACACACACACACACACAGACACACACACACACACACACACACACACACTCAAAGCCCACAGGCATTTCCTAGAAACCACATATGTATTCATGTATGCCCTTTACTTGGAAAGGTGTCAAAGGTTGTCTCGGTTCAAAACTACTAAAAAGAAAGTGTGAAAAGACCAAGTGTGAAATCAGGGCTTCCGTGAACTCACCTGTCCTCTCCATCTTCTGCTGAGAAAGGCTGCAAAAACAAAAAACAGAAGCAGGGATTTAAAAAACAAGCAACTCTACTACAGTGTCAGGGATGAGACTTGCTAATCGTATGTATCTACTATAGATAACGATAACTGCCTTTAAAATGCACCAATAAGGGATTTTAATCTTAAATCTATTCTGCAATGGAAGCGCATCTATAAAATGTACTACTGCTGCAGTTCAAACTCATTATGTTGGCGGCTAAATCAGTCAAACAGTTCAAAGGCAAAGTCAACAGCTTCGTCCAAAAAGTTTCCTGTGTTGACCCATTTATTCTTCCTTTATCACCGAGAACTGAGCCTGGTCAACACACACCGGCTAATCAGCAGTAGAGTTATATATGTGAAGCAAAGCCTGTACAGTTACAGCTGGAGAAACGGCGATCAAAGGGCAGGTCTGAACCCTGATCTGATTTAGTGTTATTTTTCATGTAAAACACAGAATACTTTTAAACACAGTGGGGTTACAACTTCAACTAGAACATCTGCCTCTTGATTGTTCATTCTAATAAAATGTGAGAAAACTGTGAAAAATGCTATATTTGTTATATTTACAACAGTTCTTCCTTTAATTCCTAGAAAAATACATGTTTTATCTTTCCTGGAAAGTTTCCATTTTTTGGAGTCTTTTGCCCTATGTCTGTATTGATTGCAAGCGTTGCTGTTAATAGATTTCTATTCTGAGTTGGATCCCAGTGAAGTCAGAGTTTATCAGAAACTGATAGCATGCCTACAGACAGTCCAGGCAGGTTCAATGTCACTGGCAATACCAAAAATAACCTTCCATCTGTCCCCTACTGGTCCTACCTACTGGTAGGAAATTCAACTTAGAGAGAGTTAGGAAAAGGGAAAAAAAGACCATCAGGGGGCGCTTAAAGTTCACAAATAGTGACATTTCTAAATGGGTGATTGTTTTCATTTTCACCATAAATAAAGCAGTTCATCATACATCATACAGCTCACAGAGAACATGAAAAGTGCCTCAAATACCCAAATGACCCACAAACCAAATGTGTGCGGGCCAGGTGTGCACACCTCTGTAAGTCTCATGTGACGTGTTCATCCTAACTGAAGCAAAGCTCAGAGTCCAGTCACAGAGAAGAGGGCTGCTGCTGGTTAACACTGATAAAGACCTGACAAACTGCACGCATGCCACGGCCTATTTGCACCTGCAAACTGTCTTTTCTATTCTTGCAAGGCGCAGCATGGATGACATATTTTTGTAGGCCAACCTGGAGGTTAGCATCACTCCATCGGCTTTTGGATTATTGCAGAAAATAAACTCTGTGATGAACAAAAGTTTATGTTCAGCAAGATAAACTTCACAAATCAACACCACTTTTTTGATTTTTGAAGCCTAAATACAATCTAAAGCTAAACACAGTCAGTTTCTGTGTTCTACATTCCTGACAAAATCTGTCGTCTCATTTTGCCACTTGTTAGCATCCGTCTTTTTGAAGACACTTAAAAAGTCTCAAGGGGGGTAATCACTGGCATACTTTATGTCGTAGAATAAAACGTTCAAATGTCTTGAGCTTGTGATAACCACAGAGCTTATTTCTGTCATCGAACCAAAAGCCAATTCAAAAAAAAAAAAACCCATCAACTTTGGGACGAGGGAAGCAGAAGTGCAAAAATGCTAACTTAGCTCCAGGTTTTAGGACACATTCCTGTAGCACTCTATAACTATATATCTGGCTATCTCCTATCTGCTACTTATAGTATCCACACATCACTGGCAAAAGTGCAGCCATCTCTCTGTCTTCAAATCTACTTCCTGTCTTTGCCTCTGAATATACGCATAAGTAGTATATTCTGAACCCCCTGGTTTGTTTTGAGTCACTGGTAAATGATTCATCTTGTGAGTAAGCAATCTGAAATTCAGCCATCAGTATGAAGGACTCCTATCAGAGCTTGAAACTAGAACTGTCTGTTCTTGCCAACTAGCAAGCAAGCAGGTCACCTCGACCCAGCTGGCTGAAGAGTGGGTGGAAGCTCAAAAACAAACTGTTTACGGACCACCTAAGGTGCTACGAGTGGTACATAACTGTAGCAAAAAACATGTTCATTCCCAGGATGTGTTGATGCGTGCTATACTAAACAATCCTGGTGGTATCAGAGTTTTGTGTCTGTGATTGGCACTCACATGGCGCTGGAAGGTAGAGAAGTGAATGTCAGGAATGAAAAGCACAGGCTGCGTCTCGAGGTCGGTCATCATCTTGAAGATGGTCACATCATTGCGTTTCTGGAGGATGGGAACTTTGACATCCACAACTGGGAGAGAAAAGGGTAACAACAGGAAGTGGTTTAATTCATGCAGAGGATTTTTTTTAAAGTCATATCTGAGGTCTGATGAGGGTAACTGTAGAGTTGGATGATAATTTTCTGTGGGTCTCATCCACTTCAACATTACACATAGTGATTTGACCAATTGTTCAGACAATAATATACTGATCAGTGCAGCTTTAAGATGAAAAAAAGTCAATCTCATATGACTCGGTGAGAAAGCAGACTGGGGTTTCAGCTACAGATATTGTTGTTTGTCTAAAGGAAGTCAATACATCTTGGAGGGAAAAGAACCTAGATCAAATAACAATAGTTTCAGTCCCTTGTTTATTCAAGGTAAAAAATTTTCCTCTATGACTCACAGCTCAGGCTGGTGCTGAGGTCGGCCACCTTCCCTTTCCTGCGGGACTGCTTCCTCTCCTCATCTCGGATCTTCCTCTCTGCTCCCTTGTCGCAGAAGACCTTGATCTGGCAGTAGGCACGGTGGATGGGCTTGTTGCTGCGGTTGTTGTAGCTGTACGTGTCGATCTGCAGGTTCAGAGGAAGACCCTTCACCCCCTTCTGAGAGGAGAAGTCTGTGCTCAGACAGTTGACAGAGATGAAGATCTGTGGAGAGAGGACAGAGGAAGAAAACAGGACAAATGAGACAAAGAAGTTTTGGACAACAAAGAGTAAAAAGTCCAACTTTACCTTTAATCTCATTCTTTAATGGCTGCTTGTAAAGACACTAAACTTTTCACTCTCATTATTCACAATAGCATCACTGTGATACTGGAGGCCTCAGCGGTGCATTCAGTGTTCTGTGCTGCCCTCTATTGATCAACTTTAGTCATCACAGGCTCATAGTTTTCTCTCTCTTTGCTCTGCTGATGCTCCTGTTAAAAACAGGTTATCAATTATGTCAACAAAACACTCTATCATAACAGAGTGTCTGAAACACCTAACACAGAGGACCTCAGGTCTACGCAGCAGATAACACTGATATTATAGATATTATAAAAAGGTATAGTACCATAACTTTATTTATATATCATGTAGAGACAAGCTGAGAAAACCAGTTGAAAATATTGCTGTGTTTCACAGAATATCTAATTTATTTATATTGACTTTCAATGAAAAAAGCACATAGTTAGTTTGGATAAAAAACACTTTAAATGTAAATACACAATTTTAGTTTTACTTCTTGCATTTCTAATTTATTTGTGTGTATTAACAGTAAAACAATATCTTTTTCACAACCTTGACCTGTTCTATAATAATATTTGGACTGATTATCACTAATGAGTTGCACATTTTAAGGTTGTCTGTGTCATTTTGCATGTATTTTGGGTTTCTGGCATCATTATACTTTGTTCAAATTACGAAATAATAAGTCAGATTTATAGCTGAGAAAAAAGGATACCGATGTATGAGTGGTAAGGACAATTTAAACTGCTAAACAAAGACAAAAAAATGCATAGTGTTACACGTTTCTTGTGATGACTCCAGTAAATTGCCCCAGAGTAGGTAAACATAAAGGAGGGGCTGCCCTTTGCAAATACACTGCAAACACATACGGTATATGCTGTAGGGCAATTACCCCAAAGGCAAGCCACAGATACACACATATCTTCATCAGTCATTTAACACCACATTGATGAGATGCTAAAACAACTTGGCGGGCGGTGCTTCCAAAAACACACACACGGTAAAGTCATGAACACAAACAAGGATGAACATCCTATGGATACCGGCCCTCGAGTCATGAGACAGTTGGACCCACATCCTGGTGTGTGTGTGTGTGTGTGTGTGTGTGTGTGTGTGTTTGTATTTGTATCTGTGTGAGAGAGGTTTGTTGCACTTGACTGTATTTCTGGTAAGTGTAGTCTACAGAGAGCACGACGCTGGAGATGAGCCACGGCACCGTGTAGTCTCTTTGTCTGTTTGTTAACCTGACTGGCGCCATCCATCTCAGGCTGATGGTGATGCCAGAAAGTGACATGAGGGTCAACAACAAATGAAAACTCAAGAGTGGCAGAGAGGACAAGAGCTCCTCCTTTCTGTCACCCATTGGACAGGATTTTATTTGTTAAATGACAAATCCGGTCCTCGTCCCCCCCTGCTGTGTTTCCTCATTCCTGCTCTTTGTTGCTCTGGTGTGTGCAGAAATACCTGAACACTCAGCATCACAATAGGGGGTGACAGGCAGGTTGGACCAGTCAAGAACGTATGTGCAGAGGTCAGGAAAATTCACACACACACACACACGCACACGCACGCACACACACAAGAGGAGTGGTGACGACGACATGACAGCATCCTCATCCTTCTATTTACGCCCCTATTTTCTTCAAACAACTGTTTTGGAGGATCACAATGAGCAAAGTGGATGACGATCATCAACAAAAGGGGTGTCAACACCTGAAACCCTAATTCTGGTCTGCGGCAAAAACCGCACAGGATCTTAATAAAGGGGGAGCAGTGTATTTTTGGATTAAGGTTTTAAGTGCATTGATGTGAAAAGTTCAAGGCTCATATTAAGAGTTCAACACAAGGAAGTATATGGAAACCACAGATCACCAGTGACCCTGTGAACCAAACATTGTACTTGTCTTTACATGAACACACTAATTTTGGTTTTAGTCCACATCTGCCGTGTCAAGGATGTTAGAAGCAGCCTTGCGATTGGTAGATGGAAACAATCAGTTGTATATCTGTGAAGTTGTGTGTGCTGGGTGTGTACATGTGTCTTTTATTGTCTTACTTTGGCCTCCTCATTGGTGTCCCAGGTGAAGGAAATGGCATTGTAGGAAATCTCCTCGATGTTGCCGATGGTGTTGAAGCTCTCCTTGTAATCAGCTGTAACAACCAACAAATGAAAAAATTAAATGAAAAAAGAGGAAAACAATTGGAAATTGGAAACAATAATGAACGAATAAAGCTAATGCTGATCTGAATAAATGAAATGAAAAATGTTTAGCAAGTCAAAAAAGCTAAGAGGAAATCTTTATTGTTACTGTGTGATATCCGGAGGTATTACCTGCTGCAGACTTAATCCGTAGCCAGAAAAACAGAACTGTCACAACCAAACAACACACCTTTTACTGTCAGCTTCTGCTAAGCTGCCTTTTCAACCATCTACTCAAGTGTGCTGACACAGGAGGATTAATCAGCCGGCTCCATGTTAAAACTAAACTCCTGATCGCCCCAGGATGAATCATTGCATCATTTAAGCCATAAAAATTGCACCAACAGTGTCTAAGACATTACAGTTGACAAGGAAAAGTTGAACTTAACTGACAGTTAAATAAAAAAAAACAAAAAAAAACAGGTTGGCTGCAGTTTTTCTTACCGATGTCGAGACACCTCTGTTTGGCTGTGTGCTGTCTGGAGTGCCAGTACTTCCAGTGTTTCAGCTGATCATCTCTGCACTTCTCCTCTCCGAACACCACCATCACTACACTCTGGAAATGATATAACACGCACAATGACAATTAAATATGTTATAATAACATTTAGCGAGCGATTACTGACAATAATACTAAATTGTTACTTGTTTCAGGTTTATTTTGTTTTTTTTTTCTTACCCTGACTTTGGTGATGGGTTGGTGCATGCCTTTGTTGTCAATCTCCCTGAGGGTGATCGGGTAAAACTGGCCCTTGTTGAGGTACGTCATCGTCCCGTCACCTGTCTTCTGACGCAGAGACTTGGATGCCTCCAGAGTATACTCGAAATTATTCCTAAAAGGCCGGGAAGTAAAGGTAGAATCTAGTCAAGACCTTACAAACGAAAAGCTTAAACGAAAGCATTCATTCACGTTTGACTCAAGGGAGAAGTAAAGCCGTGAGGTTAAACTTAATGGGGCACGCCACATGTAGCCGCTGCAGGTAAATCATGACCTAAAATCGGCGTGGTGTGTCAGAGCGGGGCCAGATAACACCCGTGTGTGCAGACTCTCGTCTTTCACACGGACGGGAGTCTGGTGTCTCCCCAGTGACTGCGATGAATGAGGCCATTCTGCGGTATTGTGTCAAGAGCTGAATGGCGGTGTGGCGGTGGAAGTCGGGCGGTGGGCCGGACAGCAGCGCGACTTACCCCGGCATGGTGTTAAATTGAGGGTACTCCTCGGGCGTCATGGAGGCCATACGTAACTGGAGATCTCCTGGGAAGGAAAACACCTGCAGCACACAAAGGAAACAGATAAAGTAAGGTCCAGAGTGTGAAGTAAGAAACAGCAAAAAAAAAGGATGCTAAACAACTGCTTCACTTTGATTTGAAATGATTTATTTTAATTGGCTCTTCCTATGATTAACCAGAGGAACAATCAGCACTTTAATCCAGTGCCCCGTAGGGATTCCCCTCTCATTCGTCCACCACTTATCACAGTTTGTGCAGGGTTTGTTAAATCGTCCTTCCCCTTCATCTCCCTTTCTTTTTGTTTAAAATGCCTCTACACTCTGTTGCTACTCCCACCCCATCCTGTACTGGAGTTTTGTTGGGTTATGCTTTTCTAAGGTAATTCGCCTCCAGGTTAACAAGAGAAAGAGGAGAGAGAAAGGGATTTGGCTATTGTAGGAGAAAAGTACAGCACTTTATTGTGTTGGTGAGACAATGACATAATAACACACTAGCCGCTATGCTGGCATGTTCAAATAAAACCAGGGAAGACTGAGCCCACCGCTGGCTCCATGGGATCAGGTGAATATCCTATTGTCTGATGGAAATGTTCTGAGAGAGGAGAGGAAAGCGAAGGAGAGGAGAGGGAGGAGGGGAGGTTGTGGGGAGAGCAGTAGCGGGGTTTAGAGAGAGGGGGATCGAAACACTCACCTCCTGGGAACCATCCTTGAAACTCTCGGAGAAGGTGGAGTCGGGGGGAGTGCGGGCCTGAGTGCTGGGGCTGAACTGGACCGTGTTGTGGGTGAGCTGGCGGTCAAAGACGCCCACATGGCCGTCGGTTTCGGTGCAGTTGTTTGGCACGGTCACTGAGAAGCCGTGGGTGGGCACCTCTGTCTTGACGGGCGGGTAGTTTGGCACGGCAGCAATGGAAACTGTGACGGTCGTGTCTGAATAGACAAAAATCAGCAAACAGGCGATCACGTTTTCTGCTTTTATAAACTGCGTACGTCTGTGTATGTAACTGAGTGTGAACAGACCTGGTGAAGGGAACTGAGACCTCTTGTCCTGGGCCAGCTGAAGAATATTGAAGGGCCCTTTCACGACCTGGATCCTGCTCTCCATACCAGCTTCCTGGAGTGGAGCTATGTGGTGTCCAGCCTGGATCTGGTGCCTGCAACATAGGGAAAATACCACATATGTAGTCTTATCTAGCATGTTGATTTCCTTTGGTAAAAATCATGATATTCATCTATAAATCCTAAAGTGACTGATTAACGCATCATTTACAATAAATCAAACAGCTCTCAGATTCTTTCAATCCCATTTGAGATTTTAAAGCTTTACATACGATTTACCACTCCATCGCTGAGCTCAGTGAGACCACCTGATGAAGTAACGTTAGTCACACCTTATGAACCATCTTTTAACTGAATAACAAAACTAGTTGAATCCTTAAATAAATGAGTTCAAGCTAAAAAGAAGGTGGTTTTCTTCCTGAGCTTTTGGAGGAACAAGGTGCTCATCCAAGGATAATAGCTACATGTGTGAGCAGATTTAAAAAGATTTCAGTAAATGAGAACTCTGTACATGCAAATCCACACACAAAATTCAGAGAATGTTACAGAGCTTGAATCTCTCCATTCCCTTCATGCCCTGGCTCCCCTCTGCTGTGCTTTTATTTTTATAGGGGGGTGGGGGGGTTGGTATTAGGAGAGGTCTGTCACTCACCTTTTGTTGGGATCCACATCAGAGACCAGTACTTCTGGCTTGCTCTGGGGTATTGTTCTCTTGTCCCTGGGCACCTGTATGGGAAGGGTAAACACAGCCGCTCAGCGTCTGACCACATCACATCCAGCAACTCGGGTCACCCTGCTGTCTATATGGCCGACTAGATCAGTTACACGACATAAGCTCTGCCTCACAGATGTTGCTTAATGGTCGGCTGTCAGCGTGAATGGCGTTCCTATAGGTAAAGCCTCTAAGGATTTGCAACTAAACCCCTAACGTAAGATTTTGCACTTCTGATTGCTCCAAAATCCACTGCTAATTTATCACAAAAAGAAATTGGGAGAATTTTTGTCCTGTGTGGTCACAAAAGTAATTTTCCAATATTTCCCTGATACCTTATAGTAGTCGTAGAGCAGGCCGAGAGCAGCAGCGCTGTCCTCGTCTCCATTAATGCTCATCATGGCCTTGGTGGCGGCTGTCAGCGGGTTCTCCAGAAATGATTTCCAGGCTTCGTCTTCTGTGGTGAAGGAGCGACGCTGGCCGCCATAACCCGGGTCGTTCTGGAGAACCAGGACCGCACGCTTACTGTGGGAGGGCAGAGTTTTATAAGTTACTGATTTTCATGCTTCTTTTAATGCAGAAATCAGTTCGTGTGGTGTCATTTGAAACTCTTTATCATGTGATATTTCAAGAAAAAAGTAAGTTGATGTCAATAATAGAAGGAATTACTTCAAATAAACTGTATGGACACTAATCGTACATGTAGTCTCTATGGGCTTTTCTTAAGCATTCAGCTAAATGGGTTCACAAAGCCAAGACCTACAATCACGGCCTCATTCAAAACAGACAAACAGGTTATGAGGCAGAGATCAACCACGTAGATGTTCTTTATCTGCGAGACCAGTTGTTCGGGATTTTCCACGATTATGCAACAAATCTCAGCCATCGAACCTCTCGAGAAAAAGATGCTCTACAGGCTCGTCCAGTGCGACGACTCTGGTTCGGGGATCACTCATTGGCTGAGGAGCTGACCGCCAATGACGTATCTGACCCTGCTGCATTCCTGCGCTTTAACAGCACCATGCCACTGTTTTTGTAAGGGAACCTGTTTGTAGGAAAATAATCATGACTTCTCATGTACACCCGCATTTCTCTCCGTCTCTTCCTCTTCCGTCTTGTGAGGCCTTGAGAGTCGCTGCTTTGTAAACAGGATGGTGTCAGACTAACGAGAACATACCAGTTTGTATTTCTATGTCTCTCGGCTGTTTTTAATTGTCTTGATTATTCATCTAAGATAACAGAACTCAGCTAAATGCCTTGCATTTAAATAGAAATGACAACACAGCACTCAGCTTCAGCATATAAGAAAATACTGAACATTTCAAGGGTGAAGTTGCCTGTTTAGAGTAAATTTAAATGTTTGCTCAGCTTCTATTTACTTAGATGTGTTAAGCCTACTGACTAAAACAAAGTAAAGTCATTAGTCAAGCTTTTGTTGTTATGGTTTCATCTAGATTATGAGTGCTTTGTCAGACTTTGGAAACTGCACACCCCTATAATACATCCTCAATCATCCACCTGCAGATTTTATGCCACAACAAAGTCATTATGGTAAAGTGTAAACGGACTGGCTCAGTTTCCACGTTGAGTATCTACAACAAATGCAGCTTTTTTCCTCTCAATGGTCAAAGCAAAGTGACAATTAGTAATCCTATATCTAATTGTGCCAGTCATAAAGTGCAATCTGATAAGATCCATTATTTACTGGCAATAAAACTCTAAGGAAATGTAATCCATTACTACAACAAAAAGAAAAGAGTTGGATTGTTTTTCAAGCAGATATTAAATTAGATTCCCCTTGTAGGAAATAAAGTCATTAAGGCAGCATGAATTCACAGACAACTGTTATTTTTAATGTACATGAAAAAAAAAAAACACAAATATTTTTTTCTGTATCGACAGTCTTCATTTATCTTACCTTTTTTTCACCCATAAATTTAACCATACATTTAAGTCATGTAGAGTAAAATCCACTCAAACCTCACATAGCCCTGTGCTTGCTTACATTGTCTGTGTCAGTAGTCGGGCCAACGCCTAGCAGGTGTACAATTTCACTCCCCTCAAATGTCTCCTTGTCTTTACAGAATACAGAATATAAACTAACCATCTCTCACCACCACATGAAAAATATTTATCTTTTTATATATGCACATATACTCATATACATGTAGTTATATATTAGCCTTCATGAATACAAAAGCACCTGCAGAGACCGCTGTCTTGAGCTGAGGGCTCCCTGCTGAGGTCCATGTTTATTCCTGAACAAACATCATTAAGACTATCCACATGAACTGTTAGAGCTTCAAGCAAAATCAAACACTAAACCGCCCATCTCTACCACGGGACAGTTTTTATTCTAACAGGCGCCTGTGCTCGCACGACAGGTGGAGATACACCTGTACAGGCTTGAACATGACAGGTGAAATAAGCGGAGTTACACAATGGGAAACTGTGAGATATTATCACTTTCCCGCCTGGCAGCCAGACTTAGAGTAAAATTACCCTCAAGAAAAAAATATAAATACAAAGATCCTAAAATAACGCTTAAATTCTTGACAGATAACACAATAAATCTTAAAATATCAGCCAGCAGCTGCAGGTCAGAGTTGGACCACAATGTGACCGCAGCTTCTTTTTTTTTTTTTAAATCCGTCTGTGCCATGAACTCAAACAAAAAGTGCAAAAAGAGAGAAAAAAAAAAGATCCAGAAAAACAGTTAGAATCAGTATTAAAAGCTTATAGTGACATCCTACTCCTTGTGCAGGCTAAAAGTGGAGAGTCAGGACGACTTACTTGTCATGCTCCTGTGACATCTCGGTCGGTCGAACTGGACTTTCTAGTTGGTACTGAAAATCCGATCCGTCTTCTTTACCGTGGAAAACACTGGATGAGGGCCGCGGCAACAAACAAAGTCTCCCCTACCGAGCGAACGGGTTTTGTCGGCTTTTCTCGCTTTTTTGGGGCAATGCTGAGAAATTGAGGCCGGTTTTACCTGTGACAGGGACGCGGATTGGATTACAGGTGGACTGGGGGGCGGGGCCACACTGTCAATTACCCTCGCTGACATCGTGATTGGCTCCCCATAGGCAACTACCTGGGGCAGTGAGGGGGACTCACGGTGAACCAGTGGAAGAACAGGGTTTAACAGATGTGATTTTATCATTTTTGGGTTAATCACTGAGGTGGGGGGGTGGGGGGGGGATGCAAATTCTTAATTCAGTTAAACAAATAAAAAAGAAGAAAAAGTTACAAAGAAGTTAAAGGTAAACAGGGTGATTAAAGAATTAAAAGGATAAAAATAAAATAAAAACTAAGGATCAGTATCACAACTGACTCACAGCAGATGTCTTGTCTGAGGCTCTGGAAAAACTTCTATTTATCAACACAACCCAGAGAGTGTGTGCTGAGTTAAGACCTGAAAGAGCAAGGAGCAGTGAATCATTGCAGGATTTATGGGCAGATAATGTGGGTTAAGCAAGAATAATTCATGTTCAGTCATTTGTACGAATGGACTGATAATGGCTGTAATGTAACTTTATCCCTGCCCCTCCAAGAGAATCAAATTAAAAAAGAGAGATCATAAAAAAAAAAACTCATGGGTATCTGATACTAAGAAGTGATCAGATAGCAGTGCTCTCTTCTACCTAAATTTAAATGTAAATGTAATGTGTGCAACTCATTACAGTCATTTTTGATGTAAGTTAAGGTGTGCCAGAGATCTGCGGCCCCAAAACTGACTCAGGTTATAATGACATGTACAAAGAAGTTGTTTTTATAGATTGATAGATAGATAGATTCACACCTTCTCAAGTGGCTGTAATCACTTCTCCTGGTCTTAACTAAAAGATCCCATAACATTTTTCCCATGTTAAGGATTGGGGTGGCAAAATCCACTGTACTCGTCCAGTAGCATAGAAAAAAATACTTTCAGAAGTTCATCTGATTTTAATATGAGGCTTCAGCAGTTGATCACATCACCGAAGTATCGTCAAGAGTTAGACTCATTTTAATTTAAAAAAAGGCTTGAAAAATTGTGAAACTGTCCTTTAATGCAGATCATTTATGTGATGAGACCCAGTCCGTGTAAAAAGGTCAGTATTGGCACCGGTATCAATACAGAGTATTGGATCGTTGCATCACCAAGGCCATGAATATATGAATATATTATTGAGATTTAGTGTTTGTAGTGATAAACAGAGACTCTATAGTGACTTCACTGCACACAGCAGTGTCGTTGCACCTTTATGGTTAAAGTAATATCTATCAATTACATTTTAATTACAATTCCATACACACTACATATGCTGATGAATATCATGTTATATGGTTGAAAGCTTAAGAAGAGTTAGTAAATATACCTTATGTAAAGTTTATGTAAAGTTTCAGTACAGAATCACTACAGTTGCTTCCTCATGGGGATCATAAACAATCGTATTGTACATGAGTGTATTTTTGAGTTGAGTTTTCGTGTGCCTAATAATTTGAAAAAATCAACAAAATGAATTAAACAAAATAGAATCTAATTTATAGAAATGGGTAAATCAAGTTTATCTTTATTTCATGATAGCTTTTCATCTCTAATTGTTTTCATTAATTTATGTGATTTCATTGTTTTAACTTTAAATGAATGTATATCTGAGTGTATCTAGTTGTATATGTTGTATATCTTATAATAAGTGTAGTTTTTGATATGCATACAAATAAGTGAAAAATAGATAGATAGATAGATAGATAGATAGATAGATAGATAGATAGATAGATAGATAGATAGATAGGTGAGTTTTCCTCTCCTATACCCCTGAAAGATACGATGAACCTGGTGAACCTAAAATCTTGTTTTCAGATGGCCACTCATGCAAACTGACAAAACGGGATGTAACATGGCTGTGGGCCAGTGTGTAACTGTAAGTCAACCTTTCTCATAACTTTATGAAGACATACTCCCACCTGGGTCACTAATGATATAAATATTGTTTACATTCTCCTGGAGGGCAGATTACCATCAGCCTGCAGCTGCATGTAAGAAACAGGCAAATGAGTCCCTGAAATCCCATGAAAAGCGTGCAAATGAAATGAATTAGCATGCAACCAAATCAGGGACCACTATCAACGGTTAACAATTTGCAGCAAGCAGCAGAAAACAGAAGCTTATTATTGTCAATTGCTTTTTTTTCTATGGAAGTCTATCTATCTATCTATCTATCTATCTATCTATCTATCTATCTATCTATCTATCTATCTATCTATTATGAATCAGGTTGGAGGACGTTTTGATCTATCTATCTCGCATATATTTTGAGCCACTGTGACATTCTGTATTTGTATTGCACTAAGCCTCCACAACTAGCTGTGGGCCACTTGTGATAAAATGATTAAAAAAAATAAACATAAATCTACAATAAAACCTTAAAGCCCAAAAGCACATGATGAAAAGAGACACCCTGAGTGAAAACAAACAGCTTTGTTCTAGACAGAGGGGGCTTAAAAGATGCTATCAGCAATATTCAAAGTTTCTCCCCACTGAGACAGAAACTAACAGTAACCCCCCCCACCCCCACCCCCCACCCGTTCCCAGTGTCCCTGACACACACACACACACACACACACACACACACACACACACACACACACACACACACACACACACACACACACACACACACACCTCCTGCTCCTGGATCCTGGTTTACTGTTTATTTATCTCAGTAGAAGGACACCTGCTTCTCCTGGAGCTTGTTTGTGTTTGCACTGAGGACATAGGATAATACCGTAAGGGAAGAATATGAGGATGTGTGTGTGTGTGTGTGTGTGTGTGTGTGTGTGTGTATTTGTGTACTGGGAATATGAGGCTGCTGAGATGGTGGGTCTGACAAGATGCTGACTCAACAGAGCGCAGAGGGGCTGAAACATAGGGGGAAAACAGACAAAAAAAAAAACAGAGTCTGGATCAAAGCATGAGATCAAACCTGAGAAAAGACCTGATGAGTTATTCTCGGGAAGAGGAAGACAATGTTGATGTGGACAGATCCTTAACTCAAGTAAAAGTACAAGTACATCACAGCAAAGAATACCACAAGTAAAAGTCCTTGATTCAAATCTCACTTAAAAAAAAGTAAAGAAGTGTCATTTACAAAATAAAGTATCAAAAGTATATGTACTAGTTCTGTGGGAAAATGGCCCGATAAGTGATTTATTATCATTTATGACATTATTATTTGTTAATACTGATGTATCAATTCTTAAGAAGCATTTTACTGTTGTAGCTAGCCGGGATGGAGTTAGTTTTAACTCATTTTATTCTCACATACTTTACATTACAGTTAGGACATTTATACAAATGGAACCAAACAAAGAAGGCGTGGGATGATTAAGCCCAATAGTACTGGTTCATTTTACCTCTTAGGGCCTCAAATAAATATTTATTGTAAATGAAACAATCTGAGGAGTTTAGAAGAGAAGTACAATAAAACAACAATAAACAATAAAACTTGCCCCTGTCAGACACTTCGTGGAAACAGTGCAGGCGAGTGCTCTGGATCTCATTGTGGATTTTGACACAGTAGACCAGAGTATCCTGATTGGCAGAGTGGGGTCAGTATCTTTGGCCCTGAATTGGTTCCTATCAGTAACTATCAGTATCAGTAACTATGACTCTTCAGTATCTCTGTCTTGTGGTGTACCCTAAGGCTCTGTTCTGGATCCCAACTTATTTATTATTATTGTTTATTTATATGGTCTTTTGCTTCTGTTCGCCATTACCTGTAGATGCAAGAGAATTTAAAGCTTGGTGATTACAGGTTTCTTGGTGAAGTGCAACATTGGAGTTGTAGTTAACTTCTCCACTGAAATGCATACATGTCCCTTAAATGTAATATCAAAAAAATTATATTTTCTGATGCAGTTGTGAATATTTTTTGTTTCACCCCCATGAATGAGTGGCTGCCAAAATAGCTTCTCCCACTTCATAGCTCTATGCATATGATATTCAATTGTACATCTTTTCAAACCCTTTAAAACATGACAAAATTGTCTATTTTATATGACTGTTTAACTGAAACTAAAGCTGGGTGGCTGATCATTTTCTGTATCTTGGTTACACAGAAGAACTTATCTTCTCCATAGTGTTTGCAAAAGTCTTGGTTCCTTCTCCTCAGAAATCCCCTATCTCCTGACCAGCATCTAAAGCTTTTGCCTGATTCCAGCTTTTCCAGCTGAGGGACGTTGCCAAGCCTGGGCCTATTCGTGTTTTATTTCATCCTGTTTTGTGTATTTGGACTCCCTCTTCACCTACCTTAGCCCGATGCCGCTGGGTCTGTTACAATTGGTCCAAAATGCTGCTGCAAGCCTTTTCCAAAAGGTCTCATGTAACTCCAGTCTTGGTCTTTTCTTATCACACACCATCAAATACAAAATCCAATTTAAGATTATTTTGATTATGTTTAGACTCAGCATGGTCAGTGTTAGAGATCTACGGTGGCCTTATATTACCTGTAGGTCTCTGAGGTCTTATCAGGGCATATAAGATTTGTGGACACTGTGGACACCATTTAAAAGCAGCTCAAGACCCCATCTTTACCCTGACCTTAGCTTTAGTTATATCTTTTATTTGGCAACTGTATTTCACATCTTTCTTTTGTTTTGTATTGTGAAGCACTTCTGATCTAGAGAGCCACAAATAAACATGACTTGCTTTTCACATTTTCTTAAAAAAAACAGCAGAAAAAACCCAAAAGGTAAAGAAGACCAAGTTTAAAAATTCCTGTCTTGAAGAGAGAAGTGTATCTTGATATCCACCTCTGTTTTAAAGCGAGGACAAACACATTCAGCAAGCTTGTTTTTTGCTTTAATTAAACTCTGCTCTCTAACAGAAGAGAACCCACACCCATGCCAGGCTTGTTGTAGTTATATTGTTCAGTAGCCTGAGGCAAAGAGATGA